AAAAAAAAAAAAAAAAGTGACTGCTAGCAGGCTTCCCTTGTGGCCCACTGGTTAAGAATCCACCTGCCAATTCAGGGGACACAGGTCTGGGAAGATCCCACATGCGGGGGAGCAACTAAGCCTGTGTGCCACAACTACTGAAGCCCATGCTCTAGAGCCCACAAGCCACAACTACGGAGCCCATGTGCCACAACTACTGAAGCCCGCGTGCCTACAGCCTGTGCTCCGCAACAAGAGAAGCACCGCAATGAAGAGTAGACCCCGCTCGCCGCGAAAGCCTGCATGCAGCAACGAAGACCCAATGCAGCCAAAAATAAATAAATAAATAAATAAATATATAAATAAATAATCACTTTATTCTTAAAAACTGACTCCTTTAGCATCTAAAGACACTGGAAAACACACATAGTATTGTCCTCAAAGGTTTTCTTATCATAATTTATAGATGACTCTTTAGATTTAACTATTGACATTTTATATAAAATCCTAATATAATAAAATACAATGTTACAGAAGTAAGTAGGACTGAGTGTATTTCATTTGATATATCAAAACCTAAGTGTGTGAAAGGTACAATATTTTATTTTGAAAGTTAACATTTCAATGTTATTAATACCTGATAAACTACATCATACTTTTTTTTAAAAAAATTTATACAATTTTTAAAGGTTACAGTACATTTACAGTTCTTACAAAATTCAGGCTATATTCCCCATGTTGTACAATACATCCTTGAGCCTATCTTACACCCATAAGTTTGTATCTCCCACACCATCACCCCTATATTGCCCTCCCTCCTACTGGAAACCACTAGCTTGTTCTCTATATCTGTGAGTCTGCTGCTTTTTTGTTCTATTCACTAGTTTATTGTATTTTTTAGATTTCACACATAAGTGATTACATACAGTTCTTTTCTTTCTCTGACTTACTCCACTTAGCGTAATGCTTTTCAAGTCCATCCATGTTGCTGCAAATGGCAAAATTTCATTCTTTTTTATGACTGAATAGTATTCCATTACATACATATAGATAGATACATATATATATCTATATCTATATATATATATATATACATATGTATATCACATCTTCTTGATCCATTCATCTGTTGATGGGCACTTAGGTTGCATCCATATCTTGGTAATTGTAAATAATGCTGCTATGAACATTACGGTGCATATATCTTTTCAAACTAGTGTTTTGTTTTTTTTTGGATATGTACCCAGGAGTGGCATTGCTGGGTCATATGGTAGTTCTATTTTTAATTTTTTGGAGAAACCTCCATACTGTTTTCCACAGTGGCTGCACCAATTTACATTTCCACCAACAGTGTACAAGGGCTCCCTTTTCTCCACAACCTTGCCAACGTTTGTTATTGGTGTTCTTTTTGATGATAGCCATTTTGACAGGTGTGAGGTGATATCTCATTGTGGTTTTAGTTTGCATTTGCCTGATGATTAGTGGTGTTAAGCATCCTTCATGTGCCTGTTGGCCATCTGCATTTCTTCTTTGGAAAAATGTCTATTCAATTCTGCCCATTTTTTAATGTTGAGTTGTATGATTTGCCTTGATCAAATTTATCAAAGGGAGCAGTGGAAGGAGCTCAAGGACCAAACTGTTGATGACTGTAAATGTCAGATTAAGGAGTATGAACTCATACATTATGGGTTATTGAAGAAAAAGGATTAATCGTCCAACAAACGAAAAGTCCAGGACCAGATGGCTTCACAGGTGAATTCTATCAAACATTTAGAGAAGAGCTAACACTGATCCTTCTCAAACTCTTCCAAAATACAGCAGAGGAAGGAACACTCCCAAACTCATTCTATGAGATCACTATTACCCTGATACCAAAACCAGACAAAGATACTACAAAAAAACAAAATTACAGACCAATATCACTGATGAATATATAGGCAAAAATCCTCAACAAAATACTACCAAACAGAATCCAATGACACATTAAAAGGATCATACACCATGATCAAGTGGGATTTATCCCAGGGATGCAAGGATTCTTCAATATACTCAAATCAATCAATGGGATACACCATATTAACAAATCGAAGATTAAAACCATATGATCATCTCAATAGATGCAGAAAAAGCTTTCGACAAAATTCAACACCGATTTATGATAAAAACTCTCCAGGAAGTGGGTATAAAGGGAACCTACCTTAACATAATAAAGCCCATATACAACAAACCCATAGCAAACATCATTCTCAATGGTGAAAAACTGAAAGTATTTCCTCTAAGAAAAGGAACAAGACAAGGATGTCCACTCTCACCACTGTTATTCAACATAGTTTTGGAAGTCCTAGCCACGGCAATCAGAGAAGAAAAAGAAATAAAAGGAATACAAATTGGAAAAGAAGTAAAACTGTCACTGTTTGCAGGTGACATGATACTATATATAAAGAATCCTAAAGATGCCACCAGAAAACTACTAGAGCTAATCAATGAATTTGGTAGAGTAGCAGGATACAAAATTAATGCAAAGAAATCTCTTGCATTCCTATACACTAATGATGAAAAATTTGAAAGAGAAATTAAGGAAACACTCCCACTTACCACTGCAACAAAAAGAATAAAATGCCTAGGAATAAACCTGCCTAGGGAGACAAAAGACCTGTATGCAGAAAACTATAAGACACTGATGAAAGAAATTAAAGATGATACCAACAGACGGACAGATATACCATGTTCTTGGATTGGAAGGATCAATATTGTGAAAATGACTATACTACCCAAAGCAATCTACAGGGAAATGCAATCCCTATCAAATTACCAATGGCATTTTTTACAGAACTAGAACAAAAAATCTTAAAATTTGTATGGAGACACAAAAGACCCCGAATAGCCAAAGCAGCCTTGAGGGATAAAAATGGAGCTGGAGGAATCAGGCTCCCTGACTTCAGGCTACACCACAAAGCTACAGTCATTAAGACAATATACTACTGGCACAAAAACAGAAACGTAGATCAATGGAACAAGATAGAAAGCCCAGAGATAAACCCACACACATACGGTCACCTTATCTTTGAAAAAGGTAGCAAGTATATACAGTAAAGAAAAGACAGTGTCTTCAATAAGTGGTGCTGGGGAAACTGGACAGCTACATGCAACAGAATGAAATTAGAACACTCCCTAATACCATACACAAAAATAAACTCAAAATGGATTTGAGACCTAAATGTAAGACCGGACACTATAAAACTCTTAGAGGAACACATAGGAAGAGCACTCTTTGACATAAATCACAGCAAGATCTTTTTTGATCCACCTCCTAGAGTAATGGAAATCAAAACAAAAATAAACAAATGGGACCTAATGAAACTTAAAAGCTTTTGCACAGCAAAGGAAACCATAAACAAGACCAAAAGACAACCCTCAGAATGGGAGAAAATATTTGCAAATGAATCAACGGACAAAGGATTAATCTCCAAAATCTATAAATAGTTCATGCAGCTCAATATTAAAGAAACAAACAACCCAATCCAAAAATGGGCAGAAGACCTAAATAGACATTTCTCCAAAGAAGACTTACAGAAGGTCAAGAAGCACATGAAAAGCTGTTCAATGTCACTCATTATTAGAGAAATGCAAATCAAAACTACAATGAGGTATCACCTCACACCAGTTAGAATGGGCATCATCAGAAAATCTACAAACAACAAATGCTGGAGAGGGTGTGGAGAAAGTGGAACCCTCTTGCACCATTGGTGGGGATGTAAATTGATACAGCCACTATGGAGAACAGTATGGAGGTTCCTTAAAAAAGTAAAAAATAGAATTACCATATGATCCAGCAATCCCACTACTGGGTATATACCCAGAGAAAACCATAATTCAACAAGACACATGTACAATGTTCATTGCAGCACTATTTACAATAGCCAGGTCATGGAAGCAAACTAAATGCCTATAGACAGACGAATGGATAAAGAAGTTGTGGTACATATATACAATGGAATATTACTCAGCCATAAAAAGGAATGAAATTGGGTTATTTGTTGAGACGTGGATGGATCTAGAGACTGTCATACAGAGTGAAGTAAGTCAGAAAGAGAAAAACAAATATTGTATATTAACGTATATATGTGGAACCTAGAAAAATGGTACAGATGAACTGGTTTGCAGGGCAGAAATTGAGACACAGATGTAGAGAACAACCGTATGGGGAAAGCGGCGGGGCGGTGGGGATGGAGGTGTGATGAATTGGGAGATTGGGATTGACATGTATACACTGATGTGTATAAAATGGATGACTAATAACCTGCTTTATAAAAAAATAAATAAAATGAAAGCACAAAAAAAGAAATTAATCTAGGGGCGTGTGTGTGTGTGTTTGTTAGATTATAACAGGTAAAGCTTGGAGAGAAAGGACAAAGTTAAGGAACAATTATTGTATTTGAGGCATGAAATGACAGGCTCCTGGCTGAGAAGATTTAAAGTAGAAAAAGGAAGAAAGCAACATAAGTGCAATAGGCATTATGTGATAAATAGCGATTGAGTGGCTATTAAGAGAAAGCTAAAACACATTAGTGAAGCTGCCGACTAAAGGTATAAAAAGGAAAACAGAAGGATAAAAATGGAAGGAAGGGGCTTCGCTGGTGGCACAGTGATTAAGAATCTACACAGGTTCGAGCCCTGGTCCAGGAAGATCCCACATGCTGCAGAGTAACTAAGCCCGTGTGCCACAACTACTGAGTCTGTGCTCTAGAGCCTGTGAGCCACAACTACTAAGCCCACGTGCCTAGAGCCCGTGCTCCACAACAAGAGAAGCCTGCGCACCGCAACTAAAGAGTAGCCCCCGCTCGTCACAACTAGAGAAAGCCCATGCACAGCAATGAAGACCCCACGCAGCCAAAAATAAATAGATAAATTTATTTTTTAAAAATGGAAGGGAGAAGGAGAAAAAAATAATTTTTCAAGTATGAAAGACATTGTCTTCTACAAACAACACAAAAAAAAATACAAAGTAATGAAAAGATGGTTTAGCAGATTCACATAAAAAGAAAATAAATTAGTAATAATTCAGCAGGCAGTTGTTGAGCATACCTAAAGACAGGATTGTTCTGTGCTCGAGAATTCAAAGCTAAATAAGATATAGAATACAGTCTCTGAATTCAAATTGCTTACACTTTACTGCAGGAAGACAGACAAAATAGAAAAATTCAAGATAATAGGGTAAGTTAATCAAGAGTCAAACGCATGATGCCATAGGGGAGTATAAACACAACATAATAAGGCTTTCTTAATAATTTACTATAGGTGATAAGACCTCTTGTTGCTTATGATTTTTTATAACATATGAAAAATAGACTTTTTTTTACTGAGTCGTTCAACAAATGTTTATTGAGTACCTACTATGTGCCAGGCATTTAGGATTAGAGAACAAAATTGATGTTATTCCTTCCCTTATGGAAGGTATAGTCCATACTGTGAAAGATAAAAGCAAGTAAACAGGTGATTACAGCAGTGTTATAATGGGGGAGATAGTGTTAAGAAAACACAAAGGAGGGAACCTATCTGGAGAAAGTGAAGTAAGACCTAAGGATGAGTAGGAGTCACCCGGGGGTGAGATGTGTTGCAGAGTAGTCTATACAGGAGTAAGGCAAGAGTCTGTAAAGCAGAGGAAATAGAAGTGCAAAGGTCTGGAGTCAAGAGAGAGAAAACAGCCTGTGTTCAATTAACTGAAATTGTTCAATATACTTCTAGTGTAGTTTAGTGTGAGCTAAGGGTGAAGTGTCAGAGTGGGGACTGGGTAGTTAGGTTTTAGCAAGGAATGAAGCTGGAGAGTTTGGAAAGATCCAGATCATATATTGCTTCATAGTCATTTGAATTCTGAACAGTTTGCTGAGAGCAGTTTTAAGCAAGGAAATGACATTCTCAAATTTGTGTCCTACTTTATAAGATCACTGTGGCTACACTATGGAGAATGGGTTAGAGAGGCACAAGATTAGAGGCAGAAAGTCCAACTTAGGAAGGTCCAGGATATCTGCAGCTGGAGACAGCTTGGAGAAAAATGACTAGATTTTTGAGATTTACAGGCTAGAATCAAGAGAAACAGGTTTGAGGGTTTAGTTCCAGAGCCTAGAGTCTGATGTTCCTCGGGGACATTATAACAGTCACTGTGAGGTGTCTAAAGGCTAGTCCTTCCAAGCTCCCTTGTGCTAGCAGTGGCCATATAACACAGTTCTAGCCAGTGAGTCTGGATGGTACCACCACTTCCTCCTTACTGCCCTGAATACAGTTGTAGCAGCCCTCTTGTGACCCTGAGGGAAAGGCCAAAGGAATTGCTAAAATAACAACCCTGATAATGATAAGCCACTTAATCAATCTCAGCTGCCATCTAACTTTCAGATGCTTTGTATACACAGATACTTGATTTCCTACTTATTGGTTGGGTTTATTACTTACAGCTGAAAAACACCTAAAATACATGCAATTTGAAGATTTCCAGGACAGTGAGATATATGGGTCTGCAGTAAAGCTGGCTGGAAGACTGGGGAACTTCAGGAATCATCAGCATATAAATGGCAACTAAATTTGAGGAAGTGGATGAGGTAACCCTGGAAGCGCAAGAAGCACACAGAGGGGCAAAGTCAGAACCCTTAAAAACACCAATATTTAAAAGTTAGGCAAGGAAAGAGGAAGAGGTTGGGATAAAGTGTTCAAAGATGTAGGAAAAAGAATACCAGGAAGCTGGTGTCACAGAAGCCAAGCATGGAGAGCTTTCAAAAGAAGGGAGGCCAATACCCAGTAAGGTGCTGCTGAGAAGAGCTTTCTTCTCTTGGTTACCTCCTACTTAGCTTTCACAAATCTCAAATTATACAGTATCCTCTGGGAGCTCTCTGACCCCCCAAGATCCCTCCTATGTGTCTCTGTAGCTCTAGGCACTTGTTCCATCTTCTCATGCTGTGCTGTAATTGCTTGTTTTAATGTCTATCTCTGCCTTTCTCCCTCATGCTACACCACAAGGCTGTAATTAAACTCTGAGGGGGCAGAAATCAGTGTCTGCCTTATTCATATTTGTACCCACAATTCCTAGCACAGTACCTGGTACATAGCAGGCTCTTGGAAGGTTTTGTAAGATCAGGAGCCCAGCACTGTAGGAAAATTCTGAAGAGGGGACCCAGGAAGAAAAACGCTACGCAAATAGGATGAAACACTATGATTATTGGAATGTTAATCGTTTGGTGCTAGAAGACTGTGCGAAAGGGGAGAAATGAAGGAAAAATGGTGGTGGGTCTTAGCTCTGGTGATTTAAAAGGTTGTAAAGATACTGGTGCAAATGTAGGAGATAAGTTTAAACCCAAAGAACAAAGCTCGAGCCTCTCAGCTGCTTGGAGGCAAGGACCTATGGTGTTACGCTTTCCTTGCCCAGTCCCTTTCTCTAGACTGTAAATTCCTCGAGGGCAGGGGTCGTATTATCAGTATCTGAAACTAAGGGGTGCTCAATAAATGTTTAGTGAATATAGTATATCTCTGTTTCCCCAGTGCCTACCACAATGCCCGGCACCCGGATGGTGCTCAATGAAAGGCTACTGAACGAAAGGATAGCTGGGCTTCGGGTGCAGATGAAGCGGGAGGGCGACCGAGTCACGACAGAAGTGCGCCCAGGTAAGGAGAGAGAGTGGGTCTCCAGACAGGTTGAGCGCCACCTTCGCTGCCCTTCGTTTTGCATACATCCCTCCACCTCTCCATCACGCGAGCCCTGTACGCGAAGCAGTAGGAAGACAAAGTAACACAACTCTCCCGGGTGACTCCGAACAAATCACTCCTTCCCGACCTTAGATCTGCCCAACCTGCTTACCAGACGCCCGGCAGTCCGGCTGCAAGTACTCAGCACACGCGCTGCAGCCATCTTACTCCGGAAATGACAATTGCTCTGAGGTTGGAGGAGTTGCCTGCGCGGGGGACCTATTGGGAGCCGGGAAACGAGCCTTCCCTTGAGGCCTGAGCGGCCAATGGAGAGCGAAGGAACGAGCCTCCCACCCAACAGCCAATCAGGAAGCGGGGCGGGGCTGAGATAACCGTGGGGGTGGGGTGGGGAAGCCCTGCAGAGTGGGAGAAGAGACAAGTGGGGAGGAGGTCTGCCCAAATTTAGTTTCAGGGACAAAGTTAGGTAAGGCACAGCTGTGTAAGTACATGTGCGCCAACGATCATATTTTCAGTGCAAGTAATGGGGGAGATAGAGTATGTTAAGGAAACAAAGGAAGGGCACTCACCTGGAGAAATTTACGTTGAAGTAAGATCTGAGGGGTAAGTAGGAGAAAGCAAAAACAAAAACAAAAACCTTCCTTCAGCTTGTATTGTAACTGCTTGATTACAGAAAATGGGACATTTCTATACTTTGTAGCAAGGATCTGTACCGCTAGTTGAGTCAAATCTATACTGGAATACTTCCCAATGACAGGCATTTCTTACTCGCATTGTGTTCTTGGTTACCGAAACTGGCTTTTCGATTTTTTTTTTTCATGGAAGATCAACAAGGTTACCATAATGTCTAAGATAAATGTCATCAATATTATCTTTCCTTTTTAGGGAATCTGTCAGATGTAGCTGCCCAGCATATGCAAGATATGTCAGACATACTACCTTTATTTATTTGCCTCTTGGACAAATGTCAAATTGAGGTCAGTGGAACTGGTAAAGAAAAGATCAGAGCTCTAATGGTCAATCCTCCTCCCAGCAACTAAGAAACCAATTTCTAGAAATGTCCACGATGTTATTTGTCTGTTCTTCCTCTTATAAGGGAATGAAAATCTGTACAGATGTCTAAAGAATTACAGAGAACAAAACCGGAACAAAGACAAAATCATAAATTCTCAACACTGAAGATTAGTGGCTGTAGAACAAAATCTCAGGTACTTCACAAATTCACTGTTGGATATTACTCAAACTCACACTTTTTATTTTGCTTTATTTGCCTTTCAGTGTATTTCACACACACACACACACACACACACACACACACACACACAAACTATAAGCAATAAATTTAAATCATTACCTTTATAAGAAAACCTGGGATAGTCAAAGAACTTTGTTTTTTTTTAACTTTCCCACTAACAAAACATTTTATAGGCACCAATAATATATTTCATAATACTACATGCATGTGTTTGTATAAAAAGATAAAGTAGCTGTGCTTTTGAATTGAATTATTTTTCTTCCCAGAGCCCCTATACTACCTTCTTCCTCTTAACTTTCCCTTTGACTCTACCTTCTCTTAAGGAAATGTCTAGTTTACTTCTTTTCTTTTATACTCTTTACCTCAACATGATTACTGCTTCCAAATTCAGTATGGTATCTTTCCTTATCCTTCCTTCCAACATCAAGAGATATGCCACATATTCACTAGTTAATCCTTTCACTTGAGCTCAAAAGAACCAAATAACCCATTTCTTCTCTTTTTAAAAATTTAATTGAGGGAATTCCCTGGTGGTCTAGTGGTTAGGATTCCGAGCTTCCACTGCAGGGGGCCTGGGTTTGATCTCTGGTGGGGGAACTAAGATCCCACAAGTTGCGCCGGTGTGGCCAAAAAATAATAATAATAATAATTGAATGATTGATTGTTACCTGGAAATTCTACTCTTAGGTATCTACCCAAGAGAAATAAAAACACATGTCCACATAAAGACTAGTACAAGAATGTTCTTAACAGCCTTATTTATATTAGCCAAAACCTAGAAACAGCCCAAATGTCCTCCATACGTAAATGAATAAACAAACTGGTGTATTCATATAATGGAATAGTATTCATCACTAACAATGACTGAAGTAATGATACATGCTTTAACATGAATGAACCTCAAAAATATTATGCTAAGTAAAAGGAGGCAGATCCAAAAGGTCACATATTGCCTGATTCCATTTGTATGGAATGTCCAGAGAAGGCAAATCTATAGAGACAGAAAGCAGATCAGTGGTTGCCTGGCACTGGGGGTGAGAATGGGGAATGACTGCAAAGGGGCAAGAGAAAGATTTTTGTGAACAATTCAGAGATTTTTAATATATTTACAAAGTTGTAAAACCATTACCACCATCTAATTCCAGAACATTTTCATCACCTCCCAAAAGAAACCCCATGCCCATTAGCAATCAATTCCCATTCTGGAACTCCCTCCCACCCCTGAGTCCCTGATACTACTAGTCTACTTTCTGACTCTATAAATTTACCTGTTCTGGACATTTCATATAAATGGAATCATACAATATGTGGCTTTTATGACTAGCTAGTGTTCTCAAGGTTCATCTATTTTACACATGTATCAGTGCTTTATTCCTTTTTATGGCCGAATAATATTTCATTCTGCAAATATAAATATTTTTGTTTATCCACTCATCAGTCGATAGATATTTGGGTTGTTTCCACTTTGGGGCTATTGTGAATGCTGCTATGAACATTAATGGACAAGTTTTTGTGTAGACATGTGTTTTATTTTTCTTGGGTGTATACCTAGGAGTTGAATTTCTGGGTTGCACCATAACCCTATGTTTAATTCCTTGAGGAACTGCCAGACTGTTTTCAAAGGTGGCTGCACCATTTCACATTCTCACTAGCAGTGTATGAAGGTCCTGGTTCCTTCACATCCTCATCAACTCTTGTTATTGTCTGTGTTTTTCATTATAACCATGCGAGTGGATATAAAGTGATATTGAAACGGAGCAGGACCCTACGGTCCTTGCCCCCACCCCCCATATCCTCAGCCTGCCTTTTGTCTGTGGAAACAATTTAGCCAAAGAATAAGTTTAATCAGAGAAGTGAGAAAATGCAGAAACAAAGGAAAACAGTCAAAGGAGACCAAATAATAATAGTTTAATCATTAAGCATAGTCAAGGACCTTTATTTCCTCCTTAAGGGCTATAGATAATATTCTGGGCCATATCCTGTGAGCTGTTTTGCAGCTACTGAAGCCCCTACCAGGTGGAGGAGGATGACTACATGATGACCAAACTGAAGCCGTGCCATAAGCTTCTACAGTTCTGAGAACTGGCCTCAAAGAAATGGGAACAAACCCTGGAACTAAAGATTAATCAGTAATCTTGAAACAACCAAGATGATGCTCATCAGACCACCACATTACTTATTTCAAGATGACTGTCAGAGCTGACTATGCTGTTCTGCTCCCTCCCTCTGCCTATACAGCCCTGAAACTCCCCTTTAAAAGCCCCTGTCCCCTGAGCAACAATCAGGAGCTGGTTCTCTTGCAGGAGTCCACCCCCCGGTTGCCGGCCTCCGAAATAAAGCAACCTTTCCTTTCCTACCAACACTTGCCTCTCAAGAATTGAGAGAATTGTCTTTGAATTATCTTTCAAGTGGTGTTCAGTAATATTTCATTGTGATTTTGATTCGAGTTTCCCTAATGACGAATGATGCTAACACCTTTTCATGTGCTTATTGGCCATTTGTATATCTTCTTTGGAGAAATGTCTATTCAAATCCTTTGCCCATTTAAAAATTGGGTTGTCTTTTTATTTTGGCATTGTAATAGTTCTTTATATATTCTAGATGCTAGACTCATCAGATGTATGACTTACAAATATTTTCTCCCATTCTTTTTTTTTTTTTTTCAGTACGCGGGCCTCTCACTGTTGTGGCCTTTCCCAAGGAATATTACAGGCCAGCATCACTGATGAACATAGATGCAAAAATCTTCAAAAAGTATTAGCAAACAAAATTCAGCAATACATTAAAAAGATCATACACCATGATCAAGAGGAATTTTTTTTTTGGGGGCAGTACGCGGGCCTCTCACTGTTGTGGCCTCTCCCGTTGAGGAGTACAGGCTCCCGACGTGCAGGCTCAGCGGCCATGGCTCACCAGCCTAGCCGCTCCGCGGCATGTGGGATCTTCCTGGACTGGGGCACGAACTCGTGTCCTCTGAATCGGCAGGCAGACTCTCAACCACTGCACCACCAGGGAAGCCCTCTCCCATTCTTTAGTTTGTCTTTTCACTTTCCTGATAGTAACCTTTGAAGTACAAAAGTTTTTTATTTTAATTAAATTGAAGTCCAATTTATTTTTAAAAAGTTGTGCTTCGGGTGTCATAGCTCAGAAACCATCAACTAATCCAAGGTTATGAAGAGTTACATCTATATCGTCTTCTAAAAGTTTTATAGTTTTAGCTCTTACATTTAGGGCTTTGACCCATTTTGAGTTAATTTTTTAAATATTATGGGAGTTATTTAAGTCTTTAAATCATCTTGAAATGGTTTTTGTGTATGGTGTGAAATACAAATCCAATTTCATTTTTTCTTACGGTTAACCTGTTGTTTCCACACCATAAACTGAAGAGTTCTTCTTTTCCCACTGATCTGCCATCTCATCTGTCAAAGAAATCAGTTTAAGGGCTCTAAGTAATCTATTTATCACTGTACCAATCTCACATTATCTTAATTACTTTAGTGTAGAGAAATAACTGAGGACATGGAAAGGAGACGTGACCCATGAGCCCCCACCCCCCACCCCCGGCAAACCGGGGGCGTGCGAATAAGCCAGAACTGCAAACAGTCCTGGATGCTTTGGGCACTGATCCGTGAAATGTCCTCGGTATAATCAGAATGATGGGAACACAAGGAAATGTCCTTGTGCTGCTTTTGAGCTCAAGGACGAAGCACGGCATGTCTTCAGGAAAGCCCACTGTTGCTTGTATAATCAGTAAAAGCATATGTAGCTGCTTTGGCATTTCTGGAATGTTAAGAAAACAAGTCTTAAGGTGTAAACATAGATAATGCTTAAATAAAAGTCACCAACAGCAGGATGAGACGGCACTGTATTGCCTGAGCGAGCAGCAGCCCTCTACTGTTGTGTTTCTGCACAATTCATCTCTTGTGATGAGCTTACTTTCAGCCCTGTCATAAGAAA